ATTCAGTGGGTATAGACAAAGATTTAACAGTATCTAATCCACTGCTTCTTTTATTGTTAAGGTTTGAAGTCCATATTGGAAGCCTTATTGCACCCAGGAATGTAACCCGACTGAGTGCTTCTCCAAGTATTTTTCCTCTTACAATGTGTTATTCTGTGAGTTCAGTTTATCGATCTGTTCACTCTTTACAATAAGCCATTCACACAGATATCCACATCAATTTTTTCCTCTTCCATATGACCATTGCGGGCTCCATAGAAATGCATCAGGGGACTGACATAGAGAAATAATTTTCTCCACTGACAGCATCAATAAACCAGAATGCAAAACAACTTGAAATTCTTTCTGTCAGTAAAGGGTGTGTAACAACACACTCATTGTTTATGAAGTAGCTGTCCATAACGTACTGTATGTAAACACTTAAGTTGTAAATGAAGTGGACAAATGGGAATGTAAGAACACCAACAATGTAGTTTAGACATGCACCATTTTACAGATGCTAAGACAAAAATCACATTATGGTCCTTGTCTTACTGCTTGTGCTTGTTTGATGAAATCTAGAATGTCCTCTTTGAGGGCCTGGTGGATCTTAGCTGGACCTTTGTCATCCCACAGGCATACAGCATGGACGTCTCTGTGAAAACAAAGAGGCGACACATTGTTACCTGTTCCTGTTTGCAAGCAACAGCTCAGTATGAGCGCCAAAACTGAAAGCAGATTAATAGAGTAGAGGTAAACCTACGAGAACAGGTCAAACCACTGTTGTTTGGTGACGCACTCCTGTCGTAAGAGCTTCAGTACTATGGGACGCATCAGGTCCCATTTATCCTCAAACTGAAGGGAGCCTTTGTTCTGGAAACAGACAAGAGGGAATTGAACTGCATGATTTAAACTTGAAGTTCATGACGTTTACAGTAGACAAGGCATGTTCATCAAACATGAAAAACACTGACATTACTAGAGCAAAAAAAAAAAAAAAAAAAGTTCATTTTTTTCCTCATTAATGTACACACAGCACCCCATATTGACAGAAAAACACAGAATTTTTGACATTTTTGCAGATTTATTAAAAAAGAAAAACTGAAATATCACATGGTCATAAGTATTCAGACCCTTTGCTGTGACACTCATATATTTAACTTAGGTGCTGTCCATTTCTTCTGATCATCCCTGAGATGGTTCTACACCTTCATTTGAGTCCAGCTGTGTTTGATTATACTGATTGGACGTGATTAGGAAAGCCACACACCTGTCTATATAAGACCCTACAGCTCACAGTGCATGTCAGAGCAAATGAGAATCATGAGGTCAAAGGAACTGCCTGAAGAGCTCAGAGACAGAATTGTGGCAAGGCACAGATCTGGCCAAGGTTACAAAAAAATTTCTGCTGCACTTAAGGTTCCTAAGAGCACAGTGGCCTCCATAATCCTTAAATGGAAGACGTTTGGGACGACCAGAACCCTTCCTAGGGCTGGCCGTCTGGCCAAACTGAGCTATCGGGGGAGAAGAGCCTTGGTGAGAGAGGTACAGAAGAACCCAAAGATGACTGTGGCTGAGCTCCAGAGATGCAGTCGGGAGATGGGAGAAAGTTGTAGAAAGTCAACCATCACTGCAGCCCTCCACCAGTCGGGGCTTTATGGCAGAGTGGCCCGACGGAAGCCTCTCCTCAGTGCAAGACACATGAAAGCCCGCATGGAGTTTGCTAAAAAACACCTGAAGGACTCCAAGATGGTGAGAAATAAGATTCTCTGGTCTGATGAGACCAAGATAGAACTTTTTGGCCTTAATTCTAAGCGGTATGTGTGGAGAAAACCAGGCACTGCTCATCACCTGTCCAATACAGTCCCAACAGTGAAGCATGGTGGTGGCAGCATCATGCTATGGGGGTGTTTTTCAGCTGCAGGGACAGGACGGCTGGTTGCAATCGAGGGAAGGATGAATGCGGCCAAGTACAGGGATATCCTGGACGAAAACCTTCTCCAGAGTGCTCGGGACCTCAGACTGGGCCGAAGGTTCACCTTCTAACAAGACAATGACCCTAAGCACACAGCTAAAATAACGAAGGAGTGGCTTTACAACAACTCCGTGATGGTTCTTGAATGGCCCAGCCAGAGCCCTGACTTAAACCCAATTGAGCATCTCTGGAGAGACCTGAAAATGGCTGTCCACCCACGTTTACCATCCAACCTGACAGAACTGGAGAGGATCTGCAAGGAGGAATGGCAGAGGATCCCCAAATGCAGGTGTGAAAAACTTGTTGCATCATTCCTAAAAAGACTCATGGCTGTATTAGCTCAAAAGGGTGCTTCTACTAAATACTGAGCAAAGGGTCTGAATACTTATGACCATGTGATATTTCAGTTTTTCTTTTTTAATAAATCTGCAAAAATGTCAAATTCTGTGTTTTTCTGTCAATATGGGGTGCTGTGTGTACATTAATGAGGAAAAAAATGAACTTAAATGATTTTAGCATATGGCTGCAATATAACAAAGAGTGAAAAATTTAAGGGGGTCTGAATACTTTCCATACCCACTGTATGTTGTCAATGATTTTTCTTAGTTTTAAAAATAAGAATAAATCAGAATTATAACATTTGTTATTTTAGGATTGTCTCTGAGGGCAGTGTTATTTTCCCATTAGCCCAGCATGTTAACGCTACTGTATGTTGTGCACACGTTACTGTAAAATTAATTTGGCAGAAAATACTTTTATTTGCACTGTATGCTTGTGTTGCATTGCATGATTCAAAATGTAATTGATGGTTATCTATTACAAATGTGTCATCCTATTGAAAATAATATTGTCAGTGTTGCCTTGAAAATAACATACTGTATTTGCTTATCATGTGTAGCAGACTGCTGACTGCTTATATTTGTTGTTACAAGGTCATGTTTATTTACACCATCACCTCACGTGTGTGTGACTGTCCTATGTTGGTACAGTGCAAAAGACAACATAACAGTGGTGGGATGTGTAATTAATACACTGGAACCGGCTATTAGTGCAGATTAAATTACATGCCTGTATTGGCATTGCTGTTTGCCCAGTATATACAGTTATTATTTTTCCTGCAAAGCCATTTTCTATGAATGGTGCACAACTGCACTCAGTGACTCCTAGCTACGGTATGTTATTTACCCTAGGTCTCTGTTTAGCGATACGACTTATAATATAGACACCGTACCATAGGTTCCTGTGTAGCTAAGCTTGGTTAGCAAGATAGCAGCAGAAGATTAACGTTCACTCAGTGCACAGAAATTACCATCTCAGTCGCTTTTAGCAGCCTTTGCCATGTATTTAAGAGGCTGGTCAGCCTCAAATTGCAGAGCCACTGAGTGACAGATGATATGAATTTTGTAGCTAGCGTATACACATAATATAGCTACATTTTAGAGCAGGTTGAGCTAACGATATGTGTCCCACACCTTATCTGTATCCAACTGTCCCCCTCGTTTACCTCTTTCCTTTATTTTTAGCTGTGCTGTGGCTACTGTATTCTATTTAGCCAGCTAAATCACTGATAGGTAGCTAATGTTAGCCAGATCTAACTTAACTGCTCCCAGGTAAAGTCAAAACTGACAGCACAATCATGTGCAGGTGCCGAGTGCTGTTCGTTACAGTTAGAGCTAAAGGCCAACACTACAATACACAAGTGACAAGCATTCAAGAGAGCGTTAAATACAAAAAATTGAATTGAAGTGGGTCCTACCTTCAGCAAATTAGACGTCGCCATGTTCCCTCAACTTATCCTCTCGTAGGATCTCGCGACACCTACACAAAAGATGAAGATTAATGGTTAGTTGATTAACCATCACATTACTGGCTTTCTAAGTAGCACAGGATTTTACTTATAAGCAATAGGTCGTCGCTAATAAATAACAGAAGCATTCTACAGTTAAGGCAGCTGTATTAATTTACCTTCACATCTATGTTATGCATATGTTTTGCTTGTGTCCCTTTCTCAGTTAAGTTGTAGCCCTCAGCCTTTTTTCTTGAGACTCTAAAAAAGTTAAATAAAGGATATAATTTTTTTCCATTACAGCAAACAGAAGCTGCATAGTATGTTCCATAGCATAGGCTAATATTTACCTTTTATTTTATTTTCACCAAGAACATCTGGCTCTGAATGACCTTTAGTCCACTTCAGCACTATCTTATGAAAGCTACAGAGGAAGAATATCCCACGCATAGCATACTGGGAGCAAAACAGGAGGTAAGAAAACAATATTTGTACAGCTTCAAGGACGGATTTGGTTTCGTATACTTAGTATGGTCTGTGCAGTCGTTCTTTCTCCATCACTATCTTGGTCAAACGTTTTCTCACACAAGCAAAATAGAGCTTAATCTTCATGTTAGGATAACGATTGCAGTTATGATAAACAATGGTGTTTTCGTGGCAGCCAAGGAAATTCTGAAAGTTGAAACCACAGGCTAGACTATAAGATTCAGCGAAGGTTTTGAACTGCATTTACTTGCTTTAGTTAATTGTTTCTCATTATTAAGCCTCAGTCATAATTAGGCTTTATTGGGTGATTTATTATTATTATTATTGCTTTTAATGTACAAGATATCCATTAAGCTAAAACGATTATATTTTGAGCAAACGTAATTACAAAATGCCTTAAAACCGCCTAAAATAATCTTGAACGGGATGAAAGAAATGACTTTATATAAACGTTTAAATTTGAGGATTTTTTTAAATTTGATCGATATTTCAAGACACGCATAGCGTGAACATTTGGGTTGTTCACATAGGCTACTAAGTGTCGGATCTTAATAATGGTCTATATTTTCTCTTTGACTGGTAAAGTAACTAAACCTTCTAAATAAATATAATGGAGTAAAAAAGTACAATATTTCCCTTTGCAATGTACTGGAGTAGAGTTATAAAGGGGCATAAAATGTAAACACTTACATAAATTATCGCATATTATACTACTTTTAGTAGGATAATTGTGGTTGTAATGTAGGTTGTTCTCATCAGCACCAGACCAAGTTTGTCTGCACGGTGCAGTGTGCAGACGTCATTGATTTTCAGTTCAACCAATCAGAGCACAGGAGGCGGCCCCGAAGTTAGATTGACTTACCATAGCATGAGAAGTAAACCTCATGGAGTGACATTTTGATAAAGGTGAAAATTAATCGCAGTCATAACGATCATGACCGAAGACAACAAGGTTTGTAACCTACACGCAGACAGTTTTTATTTGTATAGAGCTTCTGGTTACATTACGCTTTATTTAGATATTCGTAAACAAGGAAAGCTCTAATGAATGGCGATGTCACTCGCGCGTAAAACACGAACGAAACTGCACTGAAAAAGTTTAATAGCACCGTGGCTATTGCAAGTCATTAATTCCTGCTTAAACTCATATTACGAATCATTGGAGACTACATTTAATAAGTATTTTCTTTCAATTTTTAAACATAATAGTTAAACAATTCTGCCACGTACTTAGCTGTTCACTCTAAAAGCGCCAGCGCCTCTAACATGAACGTAAACCCGTTTTTTAACCTTAAAGTACCTTTAGAGTGTCGGCGAAAGAAAAAACTAGGTTTATGGTTTTATATCTTGAGGTTTTGCAATGATATTTGTCAAGAGGCTACAGTGGCAACTATAAGGCTCATTTATTGTAAACCATTTTTTTTGTGAGAATCATATTAGAAGATTCGTGAGTCACTTCACATTCTTGTAGATTTCTTCTTGGATAGTCTGAAGACAGTAAGTAAAAAAAACAACGCTAATGCTTAAATTTCAAGGTTTTGCTCTTTCTTCTAGTCTGCCTATATTGATTTAGGTCTCAAAGAAATGGAGGACAGTGTAGAAGAGAAACTGTGTGGGAAATGGAGAGTTGCCTGCGGTTTATGCACTTACAACTTCAAGGATGTCTTCACATGGTGAGCACGGATCTAGCTGTGTAGTAAAAGATGTGTGGATGAGCAGCAGTTGACCATTGGACTTATTGAATTGTTAGTGTCAGTAACGTTTTCACTGAAAACGTTTTGGCATGACACAGTACAAAAAGCACAAATGTAAATAACTAAAAGAACGGTGACTTTTGTTAGTTTTTTGCATGGTGGCTCACTGTCATGTTTCACTGGGACACTTGAACCAGTGTGTAATGATGTTAACACCTGTGTCTCTACCACTATGGCAAATCAAGATGCCAGCTTAGATAAAGACCTATAGCGCAGGCCCAATGGCTTGCAGCACCATATATTTATTATGTTGTGGTTATGTTCATTATTCTGCAATATTACATCAACCACATTTAAGACCTGTTTTTTCTATACCCACCAGGTACTGTACACCACATTTATCTTTATTGATCGAACATGAGTAATGTAAATAAAATACACCATCCTACTACTAATAGTGAAAGAATAGATTAAAAACATGTAGTATTGAGGCAAGATACGACTGTAGCACACAACAGCAGCTTTACTCTAAAGCACTGGAGGAGAATAGTTGATGATACTGGAGCTTTAAGGTTTGTTTCACCTCTGTGACACACCGTTTCAACATATTCTGCCAGAGCTAGTATCAAAGGAAGAATTGAATGAAGAATATAGTAAGTATATGTACACTAGAAAGTCATGCAGTAATCATAAGTACCATTTCCACTAAGTAACAATACAGTAGAAGTAATTATCTAATTTAATGAATGTCATTTTCTAATCACTGTTACAATGATATGCTATGACTCCGTGTCAGAATGTTTTGTATTTAGTCTTTTTAGACAACACAATGTTTTTACTGTAACTGATTTGTGTGTTGTCCAGCTCTTGTGGCTGACACCTGATGTTCTTGTTGACTATCCAGGCATCTGCTGAAGACCATAGTCATGGGCCAGGTCTTGTCTGTACTGATCTGCGGTACAGCTGTGAGCTGTCAGTACCTGGTTGATGCCGGGGTGGAGACGCCCATGCTGCAGAGCTTCCTCAACTATTCCTTGCTGCTACTCGTCTTTACCACCAATCTCAGCACACGCAAAGGTCAGCCTGCTGTTCAGCGTTGATTGACATAGACATTTTCAGCTCCAAACAGAACCACCTCTTGGATAAGAACACTAAGAGATGTCTCGTATCGTATAAACAAGAGATTTGTCTCTGACAAGTAAAATGATAGGCCCATTATTTAGACCTACAGTATATTCGAGAGGTTCACACTGTCTAAAAAAGATACAAGTTAAATTATTTTTTAACGGTTTTAGTTGCAGTCAGATAATACAAAATTCTGATGTGTTTACCGCAAAAATATGATTCTTGCAATTTTGTCCTTGTGAAAAGCCCAGATTGCATTGTTTTATTTAGGACAGGTTCAGGTTTCGAGTAATAAACTCAGTTGAGTGGCATTTTTTTGCTAGTGTATGACTTTTTTTGTAGTGAATATTGTTATAATTTTGTAGTACAAAACTAGATTCCTCTTCAGGGTCGCTTTGCTGGTGTTCAACTTCTTCTAGCGTGTAGCTTCCCCAACACTGCTTATTGGAAATACTCACCTCTTCACTGTGCCATTGTAGTACAAGTAGTACTTATTTTCTGAAAGTCACCAGAAAATGCTCCCTGTTTACAGCCAATTTTGGTATTTCTCGCCTACATTATAGAGACATGAATATGTGAAAAATGTGTTCTTTTGGAATTTTTTTTTTTGTAAAATCAGAATTTTCTTATGAATAAACCTAGAAAACAAACCTTGTCTATTTCTACAGATGAGAGAAACCTACTACAAATTTTAAAAACCAAGTGGTGGAAGTATTTGTTGATGGCTCTGGCAGATGTGGAAGCAAACTATGCAGTTGTGAAGGCCTACCAGTTTACGACACTGACAAGTATACAGGTAAAAGAAAACTGTCATGCTGCTGGAGTCGCCACTGGACGTAGGCATAACAGACATCTTATTACTGTTTTGTCACGCACTGTATATATGTAGTATGTGGTTCATATCAATATTATGATGTTAATAACTAATAATACATTTTCTAGGATCTACTTTTCACAGAGATACAAAAAAATCTAATATAAGGTAATCAACTAACATTCAGTGCAATAACCTGGTTTCCAGTATTTGAAACATGTATATCTCCTGTAATTTTATGAAACCAAAGAGGGTAGACTTTATGGACAGGTTTGGCAGAAACAGGGCTTGATATTATTTGAAATACAGTAACTGAGTGTTGGTACTCGAGACGGTACTTTGAGAAATACAATTCTAAACAGTTTTTTTTTTCATTTAAAATGAAATATGGTACCCTGAAATCTGGGTACCATTATTTTATTTCTAATTGAATGTGCTGAAAAGCATAAAGAAGAACTGTGTAGTTGTCCATGCACTTGCTCTCAGACTGTACATTAAATGTTTGGCCAGCACCACACTATACTGTGCCCAGTTTCCACACAGGCATGGATGAACATTGTTATCAATTGTACAGTAGTAGAGTAGTGCACATGTATCTTTGTCTAGTAACAATAGTCTCTGTTATGATGATGAGAACTGGGATTTATTGTGTGGGGAAAAGATGCGGTTCCAGTCTGAAATGTATTGAATTGTGAATATCTGCTATTGATGCCTTCCTGCCAAAAATATCTATTAAATGAAGTCTTTTAATTGGTAGGGAATAGGACTGATTATGTGACTATCCTATCTTGTCAACCTGTTTTAAATATTTCCTCCTTCTCAGACTCTATCAGCCTGTAATGCTAGTCTGTCATTGTTCCTGTGTGTTTCAGCTGCTGGACTGCTTTGTGATCCCAGTGTTGATGCTACTTTCCTGGGTCTTCCTCAAGACTCGCTACAGGGCGGGCCACTTTGTAGCAGTGATGGTGTGTTTGTTTGGGGTGGGGGCTATGATAGGGGCCGACATTCTGGCTGGAAGAGACCAGGGATCTAGTAAGGGCACATTTTTTGTCACCTATATCTGTAAAGTACTAACTCATAATGTTAAACGGTGTATAGCAGGCACTTAATGAGCAGTATCTTATTAGAATGACCCATAGAGTATCCAGTAAGTATCCAGATTTATTGGAAATATGCCAGGTTGAAATAAACTGAAATCATCCTTTAATATTACTCACTTGACATTTGCTCATCTGTAACTGCCTCTCTTTCAGCCAGCCATGTTGCCCTGGGTGACGGATTGGTACTACTCAGTGCCGTCCTCTATGCTGTATCCAACGTTTGCCAAGAGTACACGGTGAAGAACTTGAGCATAATCGAATTCTTGGGCCTGATGGGCCTGTTTGGGACGCTCATCAGTGGCATACAGCTGTAAGTTGTTGTTTAAACTCCTTGTTTATTCTTGTGCCCTGTTTTTATAAAGTGGTGCCAGTGATACAGATGCCCAGCAAGTTTGTACTTATCTTATTTGACAGGTCAGTTTTTTTTTTAAGAAGCAAAAATAGGCTTCTGTATCCATGTATCTTGAAGAGAATCAGAAAGCAAACTTTGAAAAGTACTATGGTTTACAGTATTACATGTATAGATCAGTACTTCAGCAGCTGTTAGATACAGTAAGTGCAATGAAATGGTAAAAGCAGTTCTATCAGGCATTACTGACATCACTTTGCAGGTAATTTTTGCAATAAGAAGCTTTTCGAGCACATTATCTGTTCACAAAGTGAGCAAGATTGGTACATAATGACTGAGTGGTTGAGAGCACAATTAAATATTGTTCTTGTATACCAGTAAATGAGAACTCAGATGAATGTCAGAAAGTTGCTTCCCTTTTAAATAAATTATTGTACAGCAAATAAAATCTAAACTAGGTCTGCCGTCCTTTGTGTCACTGATACTGATTGGAATGGCTGCATATCCTTCAAAGGATTAAATTTAAGTTTTTAAAAGGAGCTAAACAAAGCAACACGTTTTCCTTAAACTAAAGAGTGAAATAAGTGTTTACCTCAGTACCCTAACTTAGTGTTACTTTGTATTGCAGAGCAGTACTGGAAACCCATGCAGTAGCAGCGATAAAGTGGGACCTTTATATTTGTAAGTCAACTTTCAATCTTTCTCGATTAGAGTATGATGTGTTAGAGTACGTGATAATGGTAATGTAGCAAAATCATGACTGCTGCAGTTGTCCTACTTGTGAGGCAAATACAGCTCTGTCTTCTCTAACTAAAGTCTCCTCATTGTGTTCTGCAGCCATGCTGTTTGCCATCTATGCCCTGTGTATGTTTGCACTGTACAGCCTCATGCCTGTTGTGGTGAAGATGACCAGTGCTACTGCGGTCAACCTGTCTCTACTCACCTCTGATCTTTTCAGTCTCTTCTGTGGCCTCTTTCTCTTCCACTACACAGTGAGTGTCATTAAAAACATCACAGTGTTAGCAGCTGGTGCTATCATGCTAATGTCAGATACTCACGTTTGATGAGCTATAGACTTTTTGAGGCCTGGAGTCTGTTTTCTTAATGCGCAACTTGTACCACTGAGGGGAAAAAAGCATTCTTAGATCACTTCATTGGAAAAACTTTATTGATTTTTGTTTCTTTTTTTGCATCAAGAAGTGCAATAATTTCAGCCATTCATCTGTTATTTATACAGCTTATCCTGCAGTGGGTCAGAAGTGCAATAATTGATCATTTAAAAAAGGTCCAATAGTGGATAGGTGTGACTGAAAAAATAACCAAGACCAATATAAAATGATTATGTTTAGAGAAGGAAATTATTGCTATTCACAAGGTAGATCCTACCATTTTAGTTGCGGCAGGTACATTGTCACAAAATTCCATAATTCAATACAAATTCAGGTACATTGAAAATCGTACCTACTTAAAGTCATGCAACTGATACACAAATAGTTTCTCATCTCTTAAGTGTTGGTAACAGATCTATCCTGTGTCTCATCCACAGTTTTCAGCCCTGTACGTCATTGCGTTTGTTGTCATCGCCATGGGCTTTATCACATTCAATGCCATTCCCACATACTCTGCTTGACCTGAGGACAACGGTGCCAAAGTGTTTGCTGGTCACACAGCCGACAGCTCCTCACATCAGCTGCTGGCAGCAGATAAAGACACTCGGAGGACAGAGACACTCACTGCTGACTCTGTATTGTGGTAGAAACTGACTGGAGCGAGAAGAGGCTGACTTTCTCTTGTGAGAATAAGGCTATTAGATTGCATTACCCAACGAGATTATTTATTGTTCCAGTAGTACAGGTCAGTGGACAAGGGTCGGTTTGAATTTACACATTGTTACAGAAGTGCACATTTTCTTGAAAAATGTACTTGCCATACACTGCATTTGTATGGCAAGTTGCTTGTGGCAGTTAACAATTTGCACTGACACATTTTCATCCCTATTTATTCCATATCACAGCCGTTCTCGACCAGTGGGCCACAGCCCACTGGTGGCACTCAGTCCCCTCGCCACAGTGGCATAACACATGTTTACAGTATTTATTTTGTGGGGGGTTTGTCCTCATTTATTTTGTGAGGATGGGCATTAGGTTACAAAGGGTTGAGAACTCCCTGTCATAGAATTTTTTTTTAAAGCTAATTCTTTGTAAACAGTGATCATAAATGATCTCTTACTGCAGTTATTGTACTGTAATGTATTGGATACACCAGTATGACTGGTGTTTATTGGCCAAAAACTGAACTTGTCAGTCCTTCATGTTTTTTATATTTTATGAAATAAATCATCTGTGCTGTTTACACTTAGTGATCATTGTTTCTGAATTTGAGCATAGACTAATTACAGAGTTACAGTTGAATCAGTAATGGAAATAAAGGGATTTGTTCGATAAAGTGGCAATGCAGTTAAAAAGTATTTCTCCTGTTCTTGCATCTCATGTCCAAATCTATATGGTAACACTTTACAATAACGGTACATTAATCATTTACTAATGTTTTTCATGTTTATTTGGGTATTAGCTCATACATTATTTACTGCTAACATTAGTTGATACAGCAAACCTAGTCCAGTTGATTTTTTTAAGGTTTTTTCAGCTTAAGTAACCTTAATTGTTCCTTAAATTTAGCTAAACAGTAAAACCTTACTCTTTCCATTTCCATTTTCTTGACCCACTTCAGAGCTTGGCCTTGAAGGTCCACCATCAGCTATCACCATTGGTTAACCTGTTGTCATGTTTAAAACTAGTCAGGTCATATCACTGCTTGTGCTTTTTACTCTGGAATTTCAATGTGGCTGTGTTCCAAGATCTCAACAGTTGCACCCACATGCTACAGTTTAAGTGATTTCAAAGCTTTTACTCAGTCTTGGTGCTTTAACCATGTCATCTCAAGCGCTGACTACCCACAGAGCAATAGACTGGCTCAGAGAACAACTAGGTCTGCACTGGAAAATGCCATAGCTAAAGAAAGAGCCCTTAGCTGACCCAACTGCAGCAGTAGAGCATAAGTGTTGTCAGACAAGCCAACTTCTTCCACCAATGGTGGCCCTATCTCTGCAAGGCGCTGCGATGGCCATCAGGAGCAACTTGAGGTTCAGCGTCTTGCCCGAGGACACTTCGACATATGGACTAAGCACAACTAGAATCAAACCACCGACCTTCCAGTTGGGAGACGACCACTCTACTTCCTGAGTCACAGCCGCTTACCACACCTGCTATGTTTTTAAAACCAAATGGTCTGAAATGCTTTCAAGCAACATATGAATGAAACAACGTTTTCATGTGATTCAGAAATGTTAACTGACTGGTGATAACTCACAGACCTGTCTGTCTTCTTCTCAGGAAATATTTTGCTCATTATTTCCTACTGTTGATTCTCAGTGACCTGATTGTCCCCTTCATTGGAGGAAGTATATGGCGCTATAAAGAAAATGAAAGGTGGCCCAAATGGCTTCCCCAATGATTTTTATAAACAGCTTTCTAATCTTTTATCACCCTTACTTTTAGACATGTTTAATGACTCTGTGCATCATGGTTTTCACCCCCACACATTAACTCATTCTCAAGAAGAACAAGGAACCAGAACAATGTAATAATTGGAGACCAGAAAGTGTATTAAGTACCTGTACATGTACACAGAGAGAAAATGCAAACTCCACACAGAAAGGACCTGAACCTCGAACTCCGGGTTCAAACCAGGAAGGAGCATTTCCTTGTCCTGCTCATACTTCAGCCTTCTTCAGGGCATTTGTTTGGCCATTAAAGAGCTCTTTATATGTGGCCACCTTACAATTTATATTTGCTCAACTGCCCAATAAAGAAGGTTTTCTCTTTTTGCCACTGGACTTGGCAACACTCAAGCTGTTCTTTGGTGTGTTTTAGTGCTGCCGTGAAATTGTTCTTCTCTTCCAGTAGATTCTTGAGCTCAGTCTCACGGGAGGCTCTGCATTTCTCAAGTTCATTTAACAGGTTTTGCAAGTGGAAGTTTTCAATCTTTAGACCTGCTGCCTTTCTGAGTTCAGCTTCCATCTTTCTGGTCTCTGCTCTTTGTTGCTCCAGCTGGACCATCATAGAGCTCTCTGTGCTCTCCCACTCCTGCTCCTTTCTCTGCAGAGGTCTCTTTAGGTCCTGTATGGTCTGAAGGTGTATTGCCTTGTCCTGCTCATACTTCATATGAGCCTCCTTCAGATTATCAGTTTGGCTCATACACAGCTTTTTGTATTTGTTCAGCTCTGCCAGAACGAAAGCTTTCTCTTCTTTCCACTGGAGATGCTGATGACGCCCTAGTTTGCCTTCCATGGCTCTAACACAGAAAGGTGATGAAGGTTCCAGGGTTTTCCTCTGTTGAACCTTAGTTTTTTGTACCACTTCTGTGTTTGTTTCTTGGTACTATGTGTACTCCCCATAGCGAAATCAGGAAGTAAGTACAGTATACAGCAGGGGTAGGCAAATCAGGTGCATGCTTTCCAGCTATCCATGCCCTACCCACTGCTGCATACCTGGATCATGTGTATTCAGTCAATCAGAAGCTGGAGATGAAGGTGGAGCTAGGACAGACAAAATGAATTTGTAGGTTGGAGGATGGACAAGTAAGTGGACAATTATTACTTTTATTAAAACAGCCTTCTCCTAATGAAACTGCCAAGCTGTGAACTTCATGAAATACATGTTAATATCTGTATCGACTTTTTACTAGCCTTAGTTTAGAGACATTTAAGTTATTTAATGCTTGTTATTGCATCAATTAATGTTAGCAGTGTCATTAAAACTATTAAATTATGTATGAGTTAATACCTTAATTAACATGAAAAACATTAATAAATGATTAAGAAATTTACCTATTAGTTAATGCTTATTACTTAGTAATATAATAATTTATTAAGTACTGTTAATTAATGTACCCTTATTGTAAAGTGTTACCATCGATATAAGTAGATATAAGTAACATAACATTATGAATGCCATATTGTTATTGCAGGGCTGCTTTATTGCATCACATTCAATTGCACTGGTGTGCAAAAGAAAGTGCTTGGTGAGTGTCCATGTACTGTACATACCCCACTATAGATAATTCTTCCACATGCAATTTTAAAAATATTTGGGTTAAGAATTTTTCTGAAGTTGGCACATAACAGGTATTTGATATGTGTAACTAGGCACCTGTTTGGTAGCACATTCACTCTATGATAATAACTGAAGGTTCAAGTCAGTGGTTGTAGAGAGTGATTTTAAGAGTTTTTGAGAAGAACTCCTAGCTTTGCGCAAGCACACAGCTTATAATAAAAGAAAAGTGCTGTTGCTCAACAAATCAGCCTACTTTGTAATTTTAAGTCATTGTAGATATGAGGGTCAGCAATATCCTTAAATACTTGCACATTTAATTGTACATTGCGTGATGGGGTCATCGGTGCAAAATCTAATGCCAAATGACGTTTTAAAGCACAATCCAAAGAAAGTGGAAAACAAATGATGTTTATTGGCCAAAATGCTCAGTGCTCGGGTGTGTTGACTTTTTGTATTCTGCGCTGCGTTGTTGTACTGTGGCTTTTAGACGATAGGTCCTCGGGAGCGTCAGTCACTGTCATCATGGAGTAAAAGCAGGCGACTGTAGCCCAGTGAAGAGGACTGACCGCTGCCCCCCCACCCCCGCCGCATCCCATCGTTTGTTTCAGGCCATAATTATTTGAAATCGGTGAGGGACTAATTGACAGTATTTCCTTTTTCGCATATTGTTTGTGCAGAAGACGTTCTAGGAATTATTGCTACGGGTTTTGCATAGTGTTTAAGATCCGATTTGCTTCTCAGACTGGAGCTGATCGAGCCGTAATCGCCTAAGGGTTCATAAATAGGCTATCGAGTGTTATTTCTGTTTCTTTGGACCGGGTGAACCTAATAGAAACGCTGCCTATACGTTATGACCTAATGTGCAACCGAAAGCCGCAGATTACTCGCGCGTTAAGTGTTCAGCACCGCGGACAGCTCCGGTGTCGGCCTCATCCACAACCTCACCATAAAGACGCTGTCGCTTCCTCTGTTTCCAGGTGATCACTCAACAGAAACACACCGAAGACAGCTGACGGCTGACAGCGGCCAAGATGAAGCATTTTCTGAGGTAAAGAGACGCCAGTGTGATTCCGTTATTGCAGTCATGCAGACTGTGCTACATTTACATTTTATGTCCCAACATGACACTGTAAATTCACGTCTACACCACCCCCCCGTTAAGTCTGTCTTCCCCTGTTTATCCTCGATCTACTGTAATGAGCTGTTTATACTAAACATTGCAGTAGTCAGTGTATTCCCAGTTCTCCCATTTCAGCTCTTCAAAATCGATTGTGCAGGTTAAATGGCTGCTGTGGTGTAAATTGGTTTGAGTCGCTTAGAGAGGAGGCCTCTTAATAATGGAGCACATGTAAGCTAAACCAAGTGCTCTTCCATTAATAGTTATGTCTGTATACACCTATATTAAGATGTATTTTAAAGGGAGGAAAATGTATGTATGTAAATTAATTATATAATAAATGAAGCACAGACTCTAATTTTTGGAGTCTTGATTCAGTCATATTTAACATATAGGAAACAGTTTTATTAGACACCCTTGTTATTGCTTCTTCGTGCTTAGTTTTGACTCTGGGGACAGTAGGCAGGCACCTGTCCTGATAATATGAGAGATCTGGAAGTGTAATTTGGCCCTAAACCAACAATAGTGTTTTAAAACCAAGCTCCTTTCTCAGCATGAATAACATTTTACACACACACTTTGAATTTTATACTCATCTTTTTCCATGAACATATCATTGTAAATGCCTTTTCACACTAGTGCTTTTGTAAGTGCAATTCATACCACATTTCCCACAGATCCCACTATCTCCTGCCCTCAGTTTCTCTCCCTGCTGTTTGAGGTACTACTTTAGTGAATAAATGTGTTGGAGAACATTGTTCAGTTTAACGTTGTACTCCCTGTGTTTTGGAGGCCAGAAGAGACTGCCAACATTTTTTCACTGTTGGCTGGGTGTGTTTACAGTAATTATACTAATGTGCTAAAATGAATTTGGTAATACTTTACTGATGTAAACATGATTCATGTAGCACCTTAAATGGCTTTGGCTGATCACAGTATTGTATTCTCCAGTGATTTAGTACTGCACTTCCATGGCGCTGGGGAACTTACAAGAGGCAGCGTTAAAAACACAGTGGTAGAAATCAAAGCAGCAGAAATCAGAATTACAAATTTCCTTAAAAGCTAAGAAGAAGATAATGTTTGTATGAGCTGTTTAATATGCTAGTCTCATTCACAAGCCTGGGAGGGAGGAATTAATCCTTTCTGGACTGTACTGGTGAACATTTACCTTCTTTTTGTTGACAAGGAAGATGATGTTCTGCAGTGATCCCTCAGCACCAGAGGGATTAATTTTTGCCTGAAAAGGTTGTAAAGTCTGTTCCACAAAAAAAGAAAGAGAGAATTGAGGCCCTGATTGTGTGGCTCACAGAAGGAGGTTTGTGGATCATTCAAAGTGCTGGTGTTGTGCTGATGTTTTTTCTCAATTTCCCTGTCAATGTTGACCCTGATGGTACATAGAGAACTCTATGTATGATAAATAAGCTTGCCTGGATCTTGAGGCTCTTAAAGGCAACTATAGAAGTGTTTAGATTAGAATAACATTTAATATTTTCCCTTTTGTTCTAATATTCAGTGCAGAATGAGACAGGTGAATGAATGGTGAGGATCATTTAGCCTCCACAGTTTCCTAATAGGTCACTTTGTATTTCCCGAGACACACATCTTCATTTTCATTCTGTGTTACCTTTAAAAATAGCACACTCTGATCTGCTGCAAGTCTCCCCCGGCAGACAAGAAGTGAAGCATGATTTTCCAATTTCCTTAAACAGCATCTTCCTCCCTCCTTCTCTCTTTTCCATTAGTGGTGTGTGTCTTCATTCTGTTTTTAAGGTGGAAGACCAGCACCTTTGTTGTTGTCACATTTCCTCTTCTTCTTCTTCTTCCAGGTTTATTTCAAGGAAATAAAAAAAAGAATAAACCACACAAAAAAAAAACGAAAACAAACGTGTTCTGTACTGTTGTAGCTACATATTATCTGTGTCTGTGTCCTGTCTGCCTATCCCTCCTGTCTTATCCTCTGCAGAGTGGTGACCCAGTTCTTCGTGTTTCTCTACTGTAAATTACTGTGGCGGGGCCTGAAATTAGTTGTCAGGAAGTTTACAGGACGCTGCGAGCTGCAGAGAATCTGCTACAACAATAAGCACGGAGCCCGCAGGACCCTCAAAATAGGTAGGCACACATAGTGCCAGCACACTGCAGGTGTTTAGGTTTATTATTTGAGTTTATTTACTTAGTTTATGTATAAATCAAAAAAACACCTTTACACCTTTATTACAATGTCACATTGTTTATATCTAAAAGCTGATTTTTATTTTTATCTGTTATAAAGCATATTCACAATATAAGCACTGCTTCTTCATGTTCCTTGCGTGTAACATACTTGGCCAAATAAAGGTGATTATCCTTATTATTATTACTATTACACTTCAAGATTTACACTTTGCAACCATTTCTTCCAGAGTCATCTCTGAGGTACTCCAAGAATGAGGTAAGAATCTTTAAATTGATGAATGTGCTTGATGCACAGTATGTCCAGTATAATGCAGACATGTTGCTCAGTTTTCTCAGTTTGCCTCAGTCTGTATATACATTTCTTTCCTGTATTTGTCCTTTATTGTTCTCTCTGCTCTGACCTTTTCCAGCTGTTGCAGTCTGCCCTCAGTGTTCATCCTGACAAAGTGGAGAAAACCATTGATGACATCGTGGCCTTGAAGAAGATTAACCCTGACACCAACCCACAGTGAGATGCAGCATTACATATAACATTACTGCTACTTTACCATTTTTGTTAGGTTGCTTTGTTAAACTAGAGGCTATCACTGGATTGTTAATGTTTTGAATCCTCAGGCTAGTTATGAAAGCTTGGCTTTCAACACTGTATAAGTAACCCATTCTTCTTCCTCAACAATCACTACTAGGCTACTCATGATCAAGACCTGCTCAAACTGAACTAAAAAGTAGCTCAGACCAGATGGCTGTACTTGTACAGGGCAGTTATAGATCTGATTTCATGCAATCAGCCCTTTGTCTAACTGTGTGTCCCTAGGCTGGGCATCTCTCTGCAGGCCAGCCTGCTGCAGATCGTTGGCTACAGGAGCTTGGTGGCTGAGGTAGAGAAGCTACGAAGAGAGCCATACGACAGTGAAAACCCTGAGCATGAAGACATGTTGATGAAGGTGCACAGCTCTCTGTCGCTGTCTAAGGGGGAAAAAACAATCAACATGAATAACCACCTTTATTTGTATTGAAGCTCCTGTAATTCACTGCTATATTCATTTTAGTAAACAATTTCAGCTGGATATTTAAACTGTATATCCATTCATTTTAATAGTTTTTCTAATGTTAGTTATCTGAAACCATTTTGGGGGCGGCTGTGGCTCAGGAGGTAGAGCGGGTCGTTTCCTAACTGGAGGATTAGCAGTTCGATTCCCGGCTTGTCCAGTCAACATGACGAAGTGTCCTTGAGCAAGACACTGTACCCCCAGTTGCTCTTGGTGATGTCACCGGTGTGTGAATGTGTGTGTGTTTGGGAGTGCGAATGGGTGAATGGCCGAATAGTGTGAAAGTGCTTTGAGTGTGCTGTAAAGCATAGAATGGCGCTATACAAATATAAGACCATTTACCGTTTTACCTCAGTATACTCTACGTTTAACTCTCTATTTAAAGCATTTGCCCATTGCTTTAAGCTAACTGTTTCAACTTATTCCTTGTCTGCTAACTATAGTAGTTTTCACAAACACATACTGTGCTGAGCTGTAGTGTGAGCTGTGTGTGTGTGTGTGTGTGTTGCAGTTATGGAAGGAGCTACGTCCTGACACACCTCTCACATCTCGCATCTCTAAACAGTGGTGTGAGATTGGTTTTCAAGGCAGTGATCCCAAGACTGATTTCAGAGGCATGGGCTTACTGGGCCTGCACAACCTGCTGTAAGCTCTCAGCCACTTTACTCTGTGGAAAACACTGATCCAAAAAAACAGTCAGTGTTAGACATTATGTACCTATGTGGATTACATACTTGAAAATATGCATGCACAGACACTTATCTGGTTTGTCGTGTAAAGAAATCCTTTGGGAAAAGTGGAAGTTACTGGTTCAAAAGCTGCACTGAGAGAACTACATCTGAATAATTAATAATCAACATATATACATGTTAATTTGGGAAATACAGATGTTTGCTGAATTCCTTTTTCTTGAAGCTTGTCTTGTCTCTCTGCAGGTATTTTGCCGAACATGACAAGGCTACTGCTCTGCAGATGCTCCATGACTCCCTGCAGCCAAAGCACAAGTATGTCAGCTTATTTGATTTAAACTTCTACAAAGCATGGTCTATATTAAAGGAATATGCCATGTGTTTTGGAGATCACTAACTCACATGAAGATCATAGAAACTACTGTATTGTGGGGTTACCATCTGATTTTACAAGAGTTGGAGGCCAAAAAAGAGCTAAAAGGAGGGTGAATGTTGAACTTAACATTCATCAGGTGGCCAAAGGCATGATTCAGAATGAAAGCTAATGCTATTATGTGTCTTCTTGATATAAACAACTGACTGAAGTTCATAGTATTAACTTTTTAAGATTTAACAAATGCTTTGTTTTCAGTTTGTTTCAATGCCCCCTAGAGGTGAAAGGCAACTAATGTAGCCTTGAAACTCTACCAGTAACATGGTTTCCCCCTCAACTTCAAACTGCACTTCATCATTCATAACTCTGTATTTAACATATTCTGCTTGATTATGTTCGTTCTAACAGCTTGATGCCATTCATTGCATCATCTTTTACTGAATACTGCTGCTTGCATTGTTTGTCATCTCCATCTCAGCGAGCTGGCTCACTTCACAAATGATTCTTCTTTTACTCCTTTACCTCCACCTCAACCTTTCTGCCATACCTCCCTGCCTCTGTCTGTCACATGTACTGTAGGAGCACACACAGAAGGCCAAGGTACTCAGTTTCTCTTTCATTGACATGCTTTTTTCTGCATTCATAGCTTTGTCTTTTCAGTTGATTCATGCACATTTTAAAGCTGCATGAAGTACATTGTATGTAAACACCCTGCTGTCTTATTAACAGACTTAAACAGGGATGAATATCCTAGTCAAGAGAAAATGCTGCATCACATTTAGGAAATTACAGAGTATTAAAAGAAACTATACAGTTCTGACCTCTTTTTAGAGAGTTCTATCATCAGTAGTAACAGCCTTCAGAGAATTCAATAAATAGTGAGAGATGGACTGAGACTGTTTTTGTAGCATTTGATGAGAGTCACAAATTAGAATAACACAACCCTAATCTTAAACAAGTAGAACTCAGGAAAAACTGTTTTGATTGGTTTTTAATAGGAATGGGAACAAAATTGCATAGTGACTTTTAATAACAACACATTTCATAATATACACTGCACATCTGTCCCAGCGTTGGTCTTGCTGTGACAAAAATTGTGTCTTGCCATGAGAATTATATCAGTTTAAAAAAAAAAGCTTCTAAAATTCATATGTATAATATTAACTTTATGAATTCCATTTTATGCTGCACTCTGTGTTGTTTCACATGTAGACAATACATGACTCATGTGTGTCCTTCACAGTGAGATAAACAATCCTGAGTGGGAGCAGAAGAACCTTGACAAAGCTATCGGGTAAGTGTCTGCACATGTATGGAGCATGGAATGTGTATCGAGGAGGTGACTGCTGCTGTAGCTTTGGCCTCAGTAATATAGTTTTAGTAGTGGTACGGTAATGTGGCCATCGAACCAGTGGATGGATGTGTGTGTGGCTATATGTGCTGTGCCCTGCTTCTAACCTGCTCAGGCTTCTGCCTCCAGTCTGAACCAACTCTGATAAGCTCCACTTGTACTCAAGGATAAACTGATTAGATTTTGATGATAAGTCTAGTCTTGGTCTCCTCTGTTGTCTAAAACATCTACACCTTCCAGTTGTCTATGTCCTCCTGTTATTACAAACATATCTGAACTAACTGCAGACACTCACCTCTTTTATTGAACCATGATATTTAATTTGTGAATGCGTATGGGAAATGGTGTTCATTAAAAGCTACGGAAAACCACATAGTCATCCACAGCCCTGTAGTAAAGAACAACAACAACAATAACCAACTTCACACAAATGACCAATGATATTTTTATCACCTCTCTCCCAGGTATTCCTTTGCTATCGTGGGCATCAACATCACAGACCTGGCCTACTCTCTGCTGGTAAGTGGAGCTCTGAAGACCCACCTGTACAACGTGGCCCCAGAGATGCCCAACCTACTGCACTTCCAACAGACATTCTGTGAGTTGGAATCATTGAGATTTATTGTATATGATGCTTTTGTCTTGTTATTTGTTAGATTCACTCACAATTTTCACCGTTACAATAAGGACAGCATCTGTTTCAGAACTGAAGCTGCTATAATGTTGATATCAAAACAACATGTATTACTTTTCATTAAAACAATTCTTGCTTACTTTTCTGGACAATGGAATCTCAACCTGAAACAGCTGAGACTGTTTTTACAGAGTGGACATACTGTTAAGTGGTAAATATGAATGTATGGATTGAAACATACTGTACAAGTGATTGCAGGCACATTCACTAAAACTGTGTCTGGTGTTTTCACTGTATGTGTTTTGTTGCCTCCACATGGCCTAAAAAAATCTGTGAATGCAGCTTTAAACCTTCGTTGGTGGATTTATTGGCCAGTGAAAACACAACAATGACCCATTATTTAGCTTATAAGTTGATATAGTGAAACATAGAGCAGATACAGAGCAACCTTATCATTAACTTGGAGTCATGTTTCTGGCCATGAAATTCTAATATTCTCTCTGAACGTTTGTCACTATAAGTAAGTGGTTTCAATTAGAAGGTGCCATGTGATCCATTGTTAGTATAAAAATAGCCATTATAAACACTTAAACCTTTTAAAATCTTCTTCATAACAGGTTACCTGATGCAAGAATTTCATCGTTTCTGGATCGAGGAGGATCCAAGCGACATCATGGAGTTTAACCGAGTCCGCTCCAAGTTCCACCGGCAGATTCTGCGACATCTGAAGAACCCAGACATGGCTCTGTGCCCCCACTTCTCTGCCTCCAACCTCCACCTGGTCAATCTCTAAACACACCCTGCTGGCCTGTGAGCCTTCACTACCACCAACCTCACTGAGCCCTTCATATCCTCACAGAGGTCTCCAGTGGATGTCTGGTAACTAAAATTTCGAAATCAGAAAACCCTTTACACTCACTCAAACTGCTGGACACATATGGAGAGCCGCTCTTCTTTTTCTGCTCACCCCACCTCG